TGGACCAAACCTAGACCAATTAACTAACTTAATTAAACATTAGGCCTATATTTAATGGGTCAATTTGTCAAAACAAAAGTCCATTAAAATTTTAGTGTCTACAAATTATCCCAACTTCGAGTCCCATGTTTGACAGGACTTGCCTCCTTTTTCAAGTGGGACTTGAAGTCTTCAATTTATTAGACAACTTTAATTTCCTTTTCGAATTATGATACGTTGGATTTTCTTTTCCAACAAATCATAATTTCCATTAATTTTTTCTTCTTTCCTTGTTGAACTGGACCTGCTTATCCTGTTGCAAATATGAGGTGATTTATTGGCTATATATTCAACCGGTTTGACATCAATTTAGAAGCCGATTCTTGGAAGCCGTCTCTCCTACTGCCACAAGCTGAAGCTGGCCTGGTAACTTTAACCTTCTTCATTCCCATGTTGGTCTGTACACTTAATACATCACCATATTTGTCTTGTATGGCCATTTTTATTTTATTTTTTATTTTTTATTTATTTATTTTTACTCTAAAGTTTAAACATGACTCTAATACATCTGAACCTGTAGGCGGTAACCGTAAGTGCAATGTGCACTAAATGCTCTTTTTGTCTTCTTCTTTCTTCTCCTTTTTATTTTTTATTTTTATTTTATTTTTTGACTCATCAAGTGTGTCTACAGGACCAAAATTCTTAAATCATAATCACCATACATTCATACAAGATTATAGGTCACCATTATAGGTCACCAATCATCATGTATGAATATATATCTCTACAGGACCAAAATTCTTGGGGAACGAAATCCCATGCGCATCACACTCTGACCGCTGACCACCCCCACAACATAGATATCGGTTGGGTATGCTCTGTACAAATATTTTTTTTTAATAGATGGTCTTTTTTATTTTTATTTTTTTAGGATGTTTCAAAGAATTCTTGTGATAGAAGTGACAAAAATTTTGCAACCGAAGCAGAGATTTTTGGTGAAGCATACTCTGGCGAAAAGCTTTCGCAACTCCTATTCAGTCCGGCGAACTCCACCACTGATCGATGATGACAAATCAGCGAGCTCCAATGATCACACAACTGGCCCACGACATGCATGCAACTCTGGTGAACAGACGGCAAGCTTTGTTCAGTCTTTTCCGGTGATCTTGGTCTAACCCAGCGGCGAGCAGAAATACTCTTTTTCCCTTTTTTTTTTTTCTTTTCCACGCATTTTTTTTTCTTTCCCCTTTGTTTCCTTCTTTTTTTTTTTATTCTCTTAAAATTTTTTTTTTCCTTTTTTTTTTTTCTCTTTTTTTTTTCACGAAATTTTTTTTTGTTTCTTTTTTGTTTCATGCGCTTTTTTTATTTATTTTTATTTATTTATTTATTTATTTATTTTTCACGAACTTTTTTTCAATGCCCTTTTTTTTTTTGTTCATACGCCTCTTTTTTCTTTTGTTTTGTTTTTTTCACTCACACTTTTTTTTTTTCCTCCACGTTTGCTGGAGGAAACAATTTTTTTTTTTTTTTTTTCCTTCTCCACACTTGCTGGAGAAATAATTAATTAATTAATTAATTTTATTATTATTATTTTTCCTTCTTCGCACTTGCTGGAGGAAACAAATTTTTTTTTTTTCTCTCTTCTAGTTTTGGTTTTTTTTTTTTTTTTTTTTTTTTTTTTCACACTTGCTGGAGGAAACATATATATATATATTTTCACGCTGGCTGGAGGAAACAATTTTTTTTTTTTTTTTTTTAAGTTCCTTTTGGACCCATTGTTCCTTTGGAATGCACCTAGTCCGCAAGGACCCTTTGTTCCTTTGGAACGCATCTAGTTCGTTTGTTCCTTCAGAACACAACTAGTCCGTAAGGACCCATTGTTCCTTCAGAACGCAACTAGTCCGTAAGAACCATTGTTCCTTCGGAACCAAAATCTTCCATGCATGCCAATTCGCACTTTTTTTTTTTTTTTTTTTTTTTTTTTAGCAATGGGTACTAGGCAATCATGGTGTTTTTTAAGAGTTTCAAGCCCTATACTATCACCGTTTTGGAGCGCGAACAAACTCTGAGAGGTCATGCCACCAGCACAGACAGTGTCGTCAGCAGCCACGAATTAGCCCAGAGAGCAACAATAGATGCAGATGGAGAGAGGTTTTACCACTAACTCAGACAACATTGTTGACACCCGTCGCCAGAGCATCTTCATCAGCCATGGATCATCCAGCAGCCATTGATAGAGCGAGACCAGACTCCGAGAGGTCATGCGACTAGCACAGACAACGTTGTCAACACCCGCTGCTAGAGCATCTTCATCAGTCATGGATCATCCAATAGCCATTGATAGAGCGAGATCAGACTCCAGAAGGTCATGCGACCAGCACAGACAGTGTCGTTAGCAATCACGAATCAATTCAGAGAGCAGCGACAGATGTAGATGTAGTCTATTAGCCTTCATTAGCCACAGATCAGACATCAACCATTCATACCACCAACATTGTTAGCCATCGCCAGAACGTCTTCATCAGCCATGGATCATCCAGCAGTCATTGATAGAGTAAGACCATACTCCGAGAGGTCATACCACCAGCATCATTAGCCAGTATCAGTTTTGATGATGATTTCAAGCCGAAGCTCCATCAAAAGATCTGACTCAGTGTACAAGTTTACTTATGCACCAGACACCAGTAGCCACTTGACATGAAGTTACAGAGTTACACAAGTGTGCTTGTGCATATCTGTCTCGAAGATAGAGCTCTGTTGTAGATGTTGTAAGGATGTGATAAACAAAGCTTGCATGCCTATGCCTCCGTGTGGTGATTTGTTTTTACTTTAGCAATATCTTGGCGACGCCGTGAATTTTGTTTGACGCAATACCTCAATAGAAAACCAAATTCTCTTTCAGCAACACCTCGGCGAAAAGCAAATATTATTTTAGCATTACCTCGACGGAAAGCCAAAATTTTCTTTCAGCAACACCTCGGTGGCGAGCAGATTTTTTCCTTTCAACGACACTTCAGTGTTGAGTATTACTACAACACCTTAGTGATGAACCGAATTCTTTAGCGATGCCTTTGCAGTAAGCAAAATTTCTCTTTCAGCAATACCTCGGTGGTGAGCAGAATTTTTCTAGGCAGCTACAGTCTGGCAACGAACCAATTTATTTCTTCGCAACTACACTTTGCCAGATCAAAATTTCCTTTGTAGCTACAATTATGGTGAGGGACCAAAATTCTTCTTTGTAGCTACATTTTGGCGGTGGGCCAAATTTCTTTGTTGCAGTTATAATTTGGCGGCAGACCAAAATTTTCTTTGCAACTACACTTTGGTGGCATGCTAGGTTGACAGGTGCAACGAGCACTTTTGATATCATGTGATGAGTACACTTTGCCCCCTTTTTTTTTTTAGGTTGACTGAACTTGGAATAAACTTCCAAGATGCCTACATACCCTAAACAGGGATCAAGTCATCATGCAGTTCACAAATTTTTTTATTTTTATTTTTATTTTTATTTTATTTATTTATTTTTCTCAGGCGGACAATTTATACTCGTGCCAAGGAGTGTTGTTTCTTCAGATAGACAGTTTATACTCATATCAAGGAGTGTCAATTTTTTTTTCCAGGTAGACAGTTTAAGGTCGTGTCAAGGAGTGTCATTTTTTTTTGTTTGAGAGTGAGGACACCAAAATGACCCGGGTTTGGTGTGATCCACATTGCATAGGATGGGTCGGGTGAGGACAAATGGGATGGAGCAAGTTCGCGCCGGATGGGCCCAGGTCTATAAAGTCATTTTAGAAGCCCATGTTAAAATGAGGGAGTCGAGTCCAGCCAAAAGAGAACAAGATAGGTCCAGCTCAGTGGTGGTTATAACCGTCTATAAATAAAGGGGATTGAGATGGAAAAGGGGTGAAAAATCATTGGGAGTGTAAAGTTTCTCTCTTTATAATTAAGGAGAAATTCTTTGTACTTTCAATTGGCGCCGTCTGTGGGAAGAACATGAAGGATTGATTGATATCATTCCAGATCGGATTGATTCAATGCATTCTGCGAGGAAGACGATTAATCTGCGAAAGCTAAATCAGCATTGGTAATAATACGATCTGTCTTGACGAGTCCAGGTTCCGGTTGATTTCGGAAAATTGGCGTCCGATCCAAGCAGATCAGATCCGTGCTTGATCCAGCGAACCACACGGTTGCGATATGTTGTGATTACTGAATCCGGCCAGTAGTGGACTGCATTCGGCAACTGTAAGTTCAGATTTGGTGTGCGCGCGTTAGCGGAACTCCGATTTGGTCAAGAAGCCTGCAGTTGATGACTTTGCTCCGATCTGGAATGATGATCGGAGAGGCGAACTCGAATTATTTGGAGAACGGCCAGCAGTCAAAGCTCGATGAGCTAATGAACATGATCGATGCTTTGAGGAAAGAAAATGCAGAGCTACGAGCTGGAATGGAGCATCGTGAGGCTCCTGCAATTTCGAGGCCGCCTCCTGAAGGAGAGGGAGCTTTACCATCCGAAGCTAATCGTCAAGGTGATCCAGAAGATGTCAATCGTGGTGGTCCACGTCGTGATGAAGGTATAATCGGTAATCTGCCTCCGAATGTCGGCCGAGAAGAGGATCGGGAAAGGATCTGTTCGTCTGGAACCGCATCACAAACAGATTATGAGGGAGGAAGCACCGGCATATGAACATAGGATTACGTCACCATGGCGGAGTGAATTTGCGGAGGATAGGTCGTTCGATCCGCCATACCGACCTTCATTAGCGACAGTTGATTACCGTAGCTCAGAAAGGAGATCTGCCGATCGAGGATTTCCGTCACGGTTTTCAAGAGAAAACGAAGCATTGCGTTCCTCAGCAAGGACGGTCGCATCGCCGTTCACTGATGAAATTATGAACGCGCCGAATCCGAAGAAGTTTTCCATGCCGATCTTCATTCTGTTTGACGGAACAACCAATCCGGTCTATCACATATACCATATTCAGTTGAAAATGGCTTTGAATACTAATAATGATCCTTTGATGTGCAAGTGTTTCCCTACGAGCTTGGTTGGACCAACTCTCAATTGGTTCAAGAATTTGGCTCAAGGCTCAATCGCCAGTTTCCAGGACTTATGCGATAAGTTCATAAGCCAGTATTACGGGAATAAGCGTCCGGCTAAGGATGTATCGAGCCTTTTCACAATGAAGCAGCATGAGGATGAGCGGCTCCAAGCTTTTCTCACCCGGTTCAACCTCGTTAAAAGCATGGTAATGGAGTGTCACCTATCAACAACAATCCAAGCATTTAAACTCGCAATGAACCGGGGGACGCCGTTCCACACCAGCTTGGTGGTTAATACGCCAAAGACAATGGACGAGCTGAACGAGAGAGCTGACAATTTTGTTCGCCTTGAGGAGGAAGAAGCAGCTAATTCAAGGAAGACGTCAATTATTTCGACAGAGGAGAAATCCAAAGCCAAGATCGGGCAAAAACAAGCTCAACCGCAACGTCACCCCTCATGGAAGGCGGAGAAGAGGCCTAAGGAGGAGGAATCAGTCACTACACTCAGAGTCACCTTAGCAAGGCTATACCAGGAGAACAAAGATAAGTTTCGTCCTACTCTGCCAATCAGGCAACCTCTTGAACAGAGGGATCAGACTAAACATTGTGCTTTCTATAGTGATTTTGGGCATCAGACTAACGAATGTAGGAACCTAAGGAGGCAGGTAGAGATGCTAATCGCAAAGGGGGAATTTGCAAGCTATGTTCAAGGTTCGGCGCAAGAGCATAACCGCCCGGCTGAACAAATCAAGCGGAACCAGAGGCCGAACCAACACAACTCTCAGCTCGTCCGGATTATAAACGCAATTCATGGCCGGCCTGAACAAACGACGGAGTCAGAAGAGTTGCTCAGAACGAGGTTATGCCAGGCCCAGTTGAAAAGAAGAATTGGTAGTGTGCATGCTTTGCACCTGCAGAATGCGTCCACATCGATAAAGTTTGATAAACCAGACCTGCTACACGTTCAGATTCCTCATGAAGATCCACTAGTCGTCAGTCTGACGATTGCAGAATGCCTGGTTCGGAGAGTCCTGATTGATCCAGGAAGTAGTGCGAATGTCATGCCCAGGGTGACGTTCGACCGACTGGAAATCGAACCCGAAAAACTCAAACCCACAGGAAATCCGTTGCACGGATTTGATGGGAAGCGAGTGGAACCCATTGGAATGGTGGAATTGACAGTACAAGCCGCTGAGCGGGTTTTGACTGAAAGTTTTGTGGTAATGGAAATTCATCCATTATACAACCTTTTGATGGGCAGAGGATGGATTCATAGAATTCAGGGCGTTCCGTCAACCTTACATCAAGTGATGCGATGTTTGGGTCTGGATGGGACCAAGGTGATAGATATACACGGGGACCAGGTTGCGGCTAAAGAATGTTATTCAGTAACTTTGAAATCTGCTGGAAAAGGAAAAAATCCCATCCGTTCAGCCAGTCCAAAATAGCAATTACAAAACCCTCCTCTCAGCAAGGATGGGGGGGAGGAGCCACCAGTTCTGACCACAGAACCCTTTCACGAAGTGAAGATTGATCATGAGAAACCAAACCGAACAACAAGGGTGGGAACCAGACTCACTGAAGAAGAAAGACTAGAGTTGACTAATTTCTTGATTCAGAATGCGGATGTATTCGCATGGAGCCATTCAGATATGCCAGGGATAAATCCTGCTGTATCTTGCCATTCCCTCAATGTGGATCCGAATACAAAGCCAATGAAGCAGAAGCAAAGAAGATTTGCTCCAGAACGAAATCAGATTATAGCTGAGGAGGTTGATTGGCTACTTTAAGCCGGATTCATCAGAGAAGTTTAGTACTCGGCCTGGCTCTCTAACGTTGTTGTAGTGCAGAAGAAGAATGGGAAATGGAGAGTATGCATCGACTTCACTAACCTGAATAAAGCCTGCCCAAAGGATAGTTTCCCATTGCCCAGGATTGATCAAATGGTAGATGCCACCACAGGATATGAGCGGTTAACCTTCCTGGATGCTTATTCCGGTTATAATCAAATTCCTATGGACCTAGTTGATGAAGAGAAAACTTCATTTGTTACTGAACGAGGGACTTATTGCTACAAAGTCATGCCATTCGGATTAAAAAACGCTGGAGCCACTTATCAGAGGCTGATCAGCAAGATTTTTAAGGGCCAAATGGGCAGCACTATCGAGGCTTATATTGACGATATGGTAGTCAAGAGTAAGAAGAAGAGCGATCATTTAGCGCACCTGCAAAATGTGTTCGATGTGTTGCACCAGTATGGAATGAAGCTTAATCCGGCCAAATGCTCATTCGGTGTAAGCTCCGGTCAATTCCTGGGACATGTGGTCAATCATAGGGGAATTGAGGTCAGCCCAGCGCAGGCAGAAGCCTTGATCAGAGATGCAGAGCCAAAGACAGTTAAAGAGGTGCAGGCACTCACAGGCCGGATAGCCGCACTGAGCTGATTTATTTTCAAGCTTTTGGACCGCTGTAAACCTTTCTTTGATACAATTCGAGGGCACGGAAGACAAACCTGGGGGGATGAGCAACGGCAGGCACTAACCAGCCTGAAGGAGTACATGCGTAATCCTCCGGTTCTGTCTACTCCAGAACCGAATGAGAAACTCTTTCTATATCTCAAGGTGTCCAGTATAGCAACCAATGCCGTTCTGATCCGTTGCAAAGAGGGCAAGCAGTTCCCGGTGTTTTATGTTAGCAAGACAATGTCTGAACCGGAGAGAAGGTACTCTAGGGCCGAACGAATGATTTTGTCGCTGGTCAACACAAAAAAGGAAGCTTAGACATTATTTTGAATCTCATCCAATCGTTGTTTTAACCACTTTCCCTTTGAGAATGATCCTGCACAAACCGGACCTGTCGGGGAGAATGACCAAGTGGGCCATTGAATTGAGTTCATTTGATATCGCGTACGAGCCCAAGACGGCAATCAAGGGTCAAGTGGTGGCGGATTTCCTACTTAACTGTGATGCTGAAGATGCGGTGGAAGATTATAATTGTTTCTGGTGGAAGCTCTTCGTGGACGGCTCCTAGAATCAAATGGGGGCTGGGATTGGAATTCAATTGCAAACACCGGAAGGAACTATGCTGAGCCAAGCGATAAGACTAGAGTTCAACGCGACCAACAATAAGGCAGAATACGAGGCGTTGATAGCTGGGCTGAAGTTGGATAAAGAACTGAAGATCAAGAATCTGATTGCTTATAGTGATTCATAACTAGTCATTCGTAAAGTCAATGGGGACTATGGGGCCAAGGATGAGACTATGGAAGCATACTGAACTGCGGTTCTGCGTGAGGCGAAAGCCTTTGATCAGATCAGGTTTATCCAATTGTCGAGAGAGTATAACGAAGATGCCGACTGCTTGGCTTGTAGTGCATCCAGTTCTGGAGATACTTTAGCTAGGGTCATCCCGGTCGACATATTGATCCAACCTTCCATTTTTGAAGGGCTGCCTAATCCAAGCACTCGACATGTTAATGTTATACCATATGAGCCGAGCTGGATTGATCCAATCATGGCTTACATACGTAATGGTACACTCCCCGAGCGTAAGGATGAGGCAAGAAAAATTAGGTCCAGCGCAGCAAAGTATGCCATTGTGCACGATCAGTTGTATAGACGTTCCTTCTCAGGTCCATATTTGAAGTGTGCTACCCCTGCAGAAGCTAGACAGATTATGCGAACCATTCACGAGGGAGTATGCAGAAATCATTCCGGAGGAAGATCTTTAGCACACAAAGCAATGACACAGGGGTACTTCTGGCCAAACATGGCACGAGATGCAGAAGAATTCTCTAGAAGATGCGATAAATGCCAGAGGTTCGGGTCATTGATACATCAACCACCTGAAGACCTGCACGTAATGGCCACCCCATAGCCTTTCACGCAGTGGGGGATGGACGTGGTTGGCCCTTTGCTGACTGCAAGATCACAGAATAAGTACGTTTTGCTAGCTATTGATTACTTCACCAAATGGGTAGAAGTAGAGCCGTACCCTAGTGTCACCCAAACTCAAGTAAGACACTTCATCTGGAATAATATTATCTGTCGTTTTGGCGTACCAAGGTCAATCGTGATGGACAATGGAACTAACCTCGATAGCAAGCAAGTGAGAGAGCTACTGGAGGAATATGGAATCAATCAGAAGTTAGCAGCAGTCAGTCATCCCCAGGCTAATGGTCAAGCCGAGATCACAAACAGGATAATCTTTGCTTGTATTAAGAAAAAGCTGGAGAATGAAAAAGGCAAATGGTTAGATGAGCTACCGAACGTCTTGTGGGCTTACAGAACAACCCCAAGACGACCAACTGGAGAGAGCCCATTCGCTATGGCCTATGGCACCGAGGCGGTGATACCAGTCGAGCATTTGGTTCTAACTGTAAGGAGCTTGGCGTGGGATCAAGAGCAGAATGATAGAATGCTGAGGTTCAATCTTGATTTGTTGGAAGAAAAAAGGGATGCGGCTGCAGTGAGGCTTGCCTCTTATCAACAGACGCTTGTGAATAGCCATAACAAGAAGGTGAGGCACAGGGGTTTCGCTCTTGGCGATCTGGTTCTGAAAAGGAAGGTGGGAATAGTCAAAAAGATGTTCTCCCCATGGGAAGGTCCATACAGAATAGCAGAGGTCATAGGGAAGGGGGCATATGTCCTAGAAACTATGACAGGAAGGGTGGTCAATAAGCCACGGAATGCTACGTCTCTGAAAAGGTACTACCAGTAAAAGTAGAGTTTAATTTCAAGCAATATGTACGCCCTAAATTGCATGCTTGCAAGTGTACGAAATTTCTATGCTTTATAAAAAGTCTCTTCTTTGTTAAAAATTTAGACTCTTCCCGTTCAGCAAGTTAGTGGCAGCTGGCACTTCAAGCCGAATGCCAAACACTTGCTCAAAAAAAAAAAAAAAAAAAAAGGAAAGCCAAATGGCAAGAGGCGTTCAAGCCGAGCGCCAGGCATTCAGCAAGTTAGTGGCAGCTGGCACTTCAAGCCGAACGCCAAACACTTGTGAAAATACACTGCAAAGCTGAAAATAGAAAACTCAAAGGAGGAAAGTGATGCTGAGCAAAAGCATTATCATTCATAACCAAAAAGGCCTCAAGGTACGTAGTACCATACATGCATATTTAAAAAAAAGAAAAAAAAAAAAAAAAAACTGCTAGTGGGTGTCAGTTCTGATCTTCTCCAGGCTGTAACTTGTCATTCTCGCCACCATCTTCCTCTGGACCATCGAGAGCTTCTCCATTCTCATCTGCCCTATCATCCTTAGAAGGGGAGTCGAGATGAATCACCCCCTCAGCAGGCATAGGTCTGTCGGCAGCAACAGAGGAAGAGGGCACGATGGTAGAAAGGGGAAGAATGTTCAGGGGATGAAAGGGTGGGACAATTCCTGAAGATGCGACCTCTATGCATTCAATAAAAATGTTCTCAGCTGGGTCGCATGGTGGATTTTGATAATTGTTTGGGGGGTGGATGTCAAGAGAAGCATCTAGTTCATCAGGACCAGCACAAGAGCTTGATTCACCTTCAGGGGGAGAACGGTTAACAAAACCGTCTCTGTACCCTTCAGCATACCGGATGGCACTGGTCCTGGTAAAGCGAGCAAGGAGAGCTCTCATACCCTCTTCGACTCTGCCGATCATGTTCATCAGGGAAGACCGTTCGTTTAGAAGTTTTTCTTGGGAATTCGCATGCGACAACCGTTCAGCAATGAAAGAGCGCTGAAGGTCTCCCTTTCCGGCTTTGAGAGAGTCCTTTTCTGTCAGAGCCACACTCTTCTCAGTTTTTAAGATGTCAACCTCATCATGAAGAGAATCCCGTTCGGTCTTCAGGGAATCCCGTTCAACTCTGAGGGAATCCCTCTCGTTGGCCAGACCGTCTCTCTCTGCCTTTAGGTCAGCAACTCCCTTCTCTGAGTCCCTAAGCTTAGACTCCAGCTCAGCAACTCTAGCCTCAAGAAGAGTCTGCTTCAACTGACCTTTTAAGGCCCACAGAGAGAGACTTAAGTTTTTTGTTCAGAGTTTCAATTATTTTTTGAAAGGTGAACATCCCGAATAGAGTCTGCATGAAGAAAAAGAAATTCAGGTCAGAATAATTACTAAGGAATCATAACAGAAAAGGAACACATTTTCAGTAGAAGAAGAGTCACCTCTATAGCAGCGGTCGGGAACCGTTGGAACATCTCACCAAAGGATAGCTTGTTCTGGATTTCAAGGTCTTTTGGGGTCCAGAAACCCTTGTAGAAAGCAAATGAGGTGAGGGGGTCCTTGTATATTGAGTCAGTGGGGCCAATGGTTGATCCATCTTCACGGCTGAGCAAAGGTCGCTATGAAAGAACAGATGGAATTGGACCAGAGGTTCTGGCCAACTTGCCTTCAGGAATGAAGAACCGGGCAGGGGGCGATGGTTCAGTAACCCTGAAAGAAGCCGTCTTGATCCTTCGGGTCAGTGGGATG